TATTCTTCATGTATGTAAATGTAAAAAGAAGGTTTATAATTAAGTATTTAAATAAATTGTTTAAAGAAAATAATTTCTCAGTTGGATTTCCATAGTGTAGTGGTTTACACATTAACAAGCCTAGCAAGCGGTTCAGGACCGGGAGGATATGCACACTCCTCGGGGGTTGAATCTGGCGTGAAAATATGCCGAGTCAAATATGCGGAGCTGCCTGCTGTAGCGATCCCTTAAAAATAAGCAAGCAGCAGTCGTAGATGTTGTAAACACATTTGGCTGATGCCCCAATACGGTTTTATTTTTGCTGTTAATATGAGCAGCAGTAGTCGGCTTTCTTTCTCAAAGGACACAAATATTGAATTCGTGTCTACAAAGTGATCAGTAACCAGTTGTAGTGGTAGTGTTTCAATAGAAAAAGATGCGACACGATAAAGTTTATCAATTCAACATTTATTTCAGGCGAGGATAGAAGCATTTTTGAAATATTCACTCGTAAAAGCGGGGCTCATTTGAAGGGGCGAAAGCAGAATTAGATATGCAGATAAACGATCCACAGAACAAAACATTCCCTATATGTGTGTATATGTGTTATCTGCAAACAGAGTGAGATAGCCCAAAAGAGCTAGAGGTCTTGCCACGTTCCACAGACACATTATTTAATCATATTTAATATGCCTTATCTGGAACTATTTTAGGAAGAGAATTGATACCCCCAATTTCATGACTGTACTGTTAAATGTGCCTGTTGTGCCTGACTGTGGGGGGAAGATTAATGCACGCATCAGTGTTGATTGGGAATTCTTCCATGGTCATAGTGTAACTGCTGAAAAGGACAGATGCAAATGGACAGCAGAGCCAAACGGGGGGAGCAGCTTCTTTGTACGAATGAGAGACAGAAAAAAAGTTGAGAGAAAAATATCCAAGGTCTTAGATGAGTCTGAAAAGATGCAGAACTTCTCTCTCTTTAGGGGTTTTCCCCAAGCTTGCTGAAAAAAAAAAAATCCCCCACCCTCGTGGTTTGAAATGCAAAGTTAACAGTTTTACTCAGCCCCCCCTAAAGGCTTGTATAGTCTCTCCTAATCTTTTTTAATGTGTCAAAAGGCTTTCTTGAGAGTCTCTGTGAAATTTCACACTTAAGTTGTTTGCAAAGTCAGTCTGAATTACAGTGTAGGGTGAGGGTTAACTTTTCTGAAGGGGTCGGGGAAACTTTTTAAAGTCTGTATGTTGTGTTTGTGTATGGCAGAAGGGGGAGGAGGGCGTGAGGGTGTTTAGAAATCAGTGATGCTGCTTGTATGTCCACACTCGGATGTGAAAAACAGGTAATATCATTTTTCAGCTTTAGTGGAATTTTAATTGTGATAATAAAATCCGAAATTTTATTTTAGTGAACAAAGCATTGGCAAGTTTTGATTTGTAATAGTGCATACTGTACTGTGCTCACATGCAGCTCTTTTGTATATCAAATTATCACCTCAGTACGAGGGAGGTCTGTTTTTATATGCAACACCGGGATTTTGTGCAACAAAGAGGGGGCTTTGTGGTACTGCAGTGATTTACTCAAAAATTGCAAAAAGTAGTAAAAAGACATGAAAGAAATCTCTTTAAAAGGTTTCTCTAATGAAGAGGAAACAAAGCAAATGTTTTTGTCATGGTGGCCGTAACACTTTGATAGGCATTACTTCCAGATATGAACTAATGCTTTAATCATAGGTTGCACACAGTTGGGACGTCCCACTTTATTAGGGCCAAAAACCAAGCTGTGCACAAGTCTTGAGCCACCCCCCTTATTCTTTATCATTTGGTCGCAAGGAGCGACACTTTCTAAAAGAGATGTTGAGCAATAGTTCTCCAGGCTTTCTGCAGGTATGATATTTTTCTTTGTCTTTTTCACTCATTTTCAGTTCAGTCCTTGTACCTGCACATTTTCAAACATTTGTTAAGCCACTTAACACTGACCTATGAACCAAGGCACCTAACAGAAGGGAGGAACCAGTGTTGGGTTTACAGATAGCAGACAACTTAACAACAAAATAACATATTTTAAATAGTATCTTTAAGCATTTTGTTACCAGCAGCCTGTTACAGAAATAAATAAATCAATAAATCCCTGCACCTATTTCTCATTTTCGTAGCAAAATATAAGGTCATGAGAGGTGGCTCAAGACTTTTGAACAATACTGTATATATATATATATATATCCATCTGTCCATCCATAACACTGAGCGATGAGGGGTCTCAACCTTTTATCCAAGACAAAGCCCAGACATCTTTATATGCAGAATTATTTCCACAGTTTATATTTGAGATATTATTCTTTCACTCACCTTTCATTGCCAAAGGTGAGGGTCATCGACAGCTTCACTCCCCTCTCTTCCCTATGACCAGCCTGGATAGCATCTTCATCCCTGCAGATGCTGCATCGTGCTCTTTTACTAGAGAGCCAAGAATTTCAACACTATTTAACAAAAGCAAAAAAAAAACCCAAACATATTGCATACTGTGATAGTATGGGGTTAGCAGTGATAATCATCATCATCACTGCTGACATATAGATCTTTAGTTGATTTACAGTGATGAGCCCAAGCATTATAACATTTTAATACTGGGATATGTTATGTTCTGAGTTATGTTACATGGCATAAGAGTCAGTTCTCATAGTGTGTTCATTTGGGAGAAAAGAGCAGGTGCAAACAGGAGCAGGTCTTTGGAGGATGTGCTGGAAAAAATCAGATCCTTCCAGGATTTTAAAGGATTTGCTGTTAATGTCTGGTTTCCTGAGACTCCTGGGAAACTTCACAGGCCATATAGGACACCAGGATGGTGGATCGAAACTGTTTTGATGGGACACGAAGGCCCAACAGCATAAGGCAGAGGTGGTGATAATTATGGCTTAATGAGCGGGCTTTAATTGTAAAGCCTACACAAGAATGTGCTCTTCTAATTGAGTCAGTGTTCTGCAGTTTTACCAATTTTTGCTCAAAATAAATACTCTTTATAAATGTTACCAGCTAATAACATTCAGTATTATCAATACAAAGAGTCTCAGATCCTGCCTGTCAATCGCTTCCCTTCGATGCACTGATAGTGCCTCCGACTGGCCTCGTTAAGGTTGGCAGGTCAAGACATAAAAAGAGTTTAGTCGATATGAAAATCTTTTACCCTGCACAGACTTTTCTTTCTGATTTGGTGCATTGAGCAGTTTCATCACCCTCAGAAAAGAGTGAATCTATTCTCTTAATGTAATTTGTGGAAAATGTACCATGACAGTGTAATTATTTTGAGGGGGCCAATTTGCATTTCCTTTGCCCGGCAAGCTGAATGTTACTGTAGGTTCTAAGGCCTTAAAGATAAATGAATAATCTAGAGTATTTAAAACCCATGAAACATTTAAATGAAGTAATTTCACTTCCTAAAGGGCATAGGGAAGATGTTTCCATACATACTCAGACTCACTTTTTAAATAAACATCAGCTCTAATCACTGAGACAGAAATCCTAGTGCGAGCAGGAAATATTTTCTGGATCCTTTAATGGTTCCTTAGGGGCTCCCCTCTGACTTAGATTAGATGGGATTTAGACAAAGTTGATGCTTTTACCAAAACTTGGAATTCTTTTTCATCTGTGGACATCATAAGGAGCATGGTACTGTATACGTTTCACTGATAGAATTGCTACATAAGTGTAGCAGTGTGGGGAAAATGGCGTGTGACATTTCTGTGCAGCCGGCTTTGATCAACTTTGAAGGGAAATCGATTGGAGTTGTTGCTCTGCCCCATTTTAGAAGACATCTCATCAAACCGGGTTGCAAAGGGTCTAAAGACTACAAGTGTTCATTTTTGTTCCCTTAGTGCTGCAAATTTAGTAATTGACTCTGATTTTTGGCTTCAGGCAGTAACCTAATAAGGCCATCCAAGGTTAATGATAGACCCTTTTTAGACTGGCTGAATGTCTGACACCGATATGTAGTCGTGGTGAAAAACAATTATTACTTACATGAGAGACACTCGGGGCAGAAGCCTCTGACATATGAATGAAGTGTTGTTATTCTGCCTGTTATTAGCTGCTATATTTCCTTCTAGTTTGGCTTGTAAATGAGACGTAGCCTTTGGACATCGGATCAAAACGCCACAGTCGTTCAGGTGGAGAGAATCTCAGCTCCGGGTTGTGTTGCTGCTTTACAGGCATCTCTTCCCAGGAACGCCAGCGCCACAAATCTCTGTGATTTAAAATCTTTCCCGTCCAAGCAGCTGGAGTCAGCACAAGTGTCATTTGCCTTTGCCAATCTGCTGTCACGACGTCCTCTGCCAAACAATTTATCTCCACCCCGCCTGCTTTATTAGCCATAGATTATGGGTGGTCATGGACAGTGTAGAGCCTCTGCTGTCGAGGTAGCCGTATAATTGACTGTCGGGAAGCAGGGTGGATACTTATTGAGCGTAAACTACGCTGTCAGTGAAATGCTGTAGAATACATCTGTTGTATTATTTTGGCACTGAGCAGGATTTCATTTCTGTGCTTTTAGTTCATTTTGCTTTCCAGTTAGCATCTTTTTTAGTCACGCTAGCACCCCAGCTGTGGACATGGCAGTCTTCTGTTTGCATGTAGCAAGAAGTCAGAACTGAAATATTTTTTCAGAGGATTTCTCTTAAATATTTTGGATATATGCATGGTGCTGAAGTCTGGTTATCATTTGTCTTAATGTAACTGTGAGATGGAAAATTGCTATGCTATGCAAATTTTCAAAACGTGGTGTGGTATCAAGTTGTACTAGGATGGAAAACATGACAGATTTGACATCTTAACTCATTCACTGCCAGCCATTGGCAGTGAATGAGTTAAACCCATTGACTCATTCACTGCAATTGACGGCTATAGGCGTCAATGGCAGTGAATGAGTCAATATTAGCATGTAATGTTGTTGTTTTTTAAATTGTTTTTTTATGTATAATATGTGTCTTTTAAAATGTCACTGAGCAGTACCGAAATTCTCTTTCTCTTTTCAGAATTCTGGATCCATGGCACCTTCAGCAGGCTCCGCCCCGAACGCTCCCGTGACAGGTTACAAGCGTATGGTCATCCCAACTCAGCCTCCACTGACTGCCACCAAGAAGTCTACGCCCAAACCTCAAACTCCTGGGGGAGTCTCATCTACATCACCTTCTCCTTTAAGTCCTATGGCCAAGACTCCAACCCACATGGCTCCTCAGCCGGTTCCGGCCTCCTATGCTACAGCATCAACCCCAAGCCAGCCCACCTTCAATGTCCAAGTGAGGTCGGCTCAGCCTGGACCCCAGCATCCAGCCCCTGGTGGGCACAATTTTGGCCAGCAGCCCATTCGCAGCCCCGCGCAGGTGCAGTACATGCCCGCTCAGCCCAAAGGTCCTGACTTTGCTTATGGCCCGCCACAGCCTGGCTTCTCTCCAATGGCACCGGGGCCATATCAAGAACAGCAGCATCCAGGTGCGCCACAAGTAAGTGGAATAAACTCTAGAAGACCTCAAGCAGTCCCAGCCCAAGGATACCAGCCCCCAGGCCCCAAGAAGACCTACATTACAGATGTGCCACCCAGCTTGGCTCCATACACTTCTAGTCCAACGATTCCACCAAAGGTAAGAACGTCATCATCATCATGCAGTCGTTGTTCATATTCTGGGATATGGTAGTTTGAAAAGGCTTTAATCTCGTTATTGACATCAACTGGTCTAATATTTTCTGACACTTTAAGCATCTAAGTTGATAGCTTTAGGTTAACCACTGTGGCAGCACAGTGTTTTAGCGGTTAGCTCTTTTCCTCACAGCCAGAAGGTCCTGGGTTTGAAGCTGGGCAGGAGGCACCCTCGCCCCCCCTTGTTTCTGTGGGTTTTCTCTGGGAGTTCCAGTTTCTGCCATAAAAATATGCCAACACACAAAACACAAAAGCATTTCTCATTCTAAAGAGTTTCACTTCCTGTTTAATAAGTAGAGTTGCCTTTGAGAATTGTAAGGCATTTTTACGCTCAGCTGGGATGTTTAATCCCTCCAATGTGTTCTAGGTTTGTCCTGCAGCGTTAGGGTTAGATGTCCCTGGAGTCCCTGACTTGGAGGTGTCCTTACTGGATGCTTGAACCACCTCAGTTTGCATTTGTCAAACGCATAGTTGCTCCTCTTGAAACCTCTGTGAATCTCTAAAGATATATCAAAAATGGGAAGAAAAGATTTCAGTCACTTAAATGAGAAATTGTGCTCTTTGAGTCACCAGGTGCCAATGGTTTAAAGTTGCAAAATCAAAAGATAAATCAAGAGCTCTGGTTATCTCTTAGATCACCTCATCATTCATTCCTCCCGTTGAAGTCCTCCTCCATTTTGTTGTCACGAAAATGACCCACAGGTATTTAAACTGCTTTGCTTGGGTCAGCAGCTCACTGACAGAACCTTTAGAAAGTGTTCACCCACATCCACTGAGCCTTGCAGGTCACAGCTAGACAGCAAGAGTCTGAAAAACACAGCCTGGTCTCATTCTCTCTCTGTTGTAGCTTTCCAGTTATGTTTTATACAATTTAATAAAGGCAAAAACAGTGGGTGTGCAACGGTGCAGATCTCCGTACTGTAAACATCACTGTTATTTGTGTATTCATATTTGTGTGGAAGGTATGCATACATTCGTGCAACATTATTTGCCAAAGCAGTATGAAGCCATCTTTCATTGAAATTCTCTGAATAAAGTTATTTAAACCTGAACCTGTTGGGCTTTACACCATAATAGACAACTTGTACTAGTGTACTTCAACAATGTATCTACCAGCTGTGTTTTGTAAACCTAAGCTTGTACTTCACTGTAATAGTTATTTTTCCAGTTATTTGTGCCCAGCTGGAATGTGAATGTGTCAGTATGTAGTTTCCAAACATGTGCATGTGGTTAGGAGCTATTGTATGACTGTCCTTCAAGCTAAGAGCTTTTAAAAAACAGTCGAACATGGAAATCTTTAGACTGAATGATGATACGTGATATACATTTTTGTATTTTTTATTAAGCCAACCTGTGGTACGGTGCAATCACTTTCTAGATTAACCCGTTTTATTTCAGTGCAAAAAATGTTGTTTTCTCAGCCAAGAACTGCTGTGCTTTTCAGAAAACTCAGTAAAATTATTCTACATATTTCTTTCTGATGTTTATGATGAAAACCTTTTCACTGGCTAAATCATTTGGTTTTGCGGGGCATTCAGATCCAGGTTCAAATCCATAGTCAGTGTGTTACTTGCAGTAGAAGACTGTAGGCAAGAAATAAATGTTGGTTTACTTGGAAGCTTTATTTGGAGCATTTTCCCCACTTTACCTGCCTTCAGACAGGTCTTTTCCACAGGGAACTGAAGTTGTTACACTCCACCACACTCGACTGACCAAAACACTGTTTTACTTCACAAAACACAGGAGTTGTCTGTCTACCGTTGCCTCAGTTGGTTAGTTTGTTTTACTGCGTGAGTTCAGTGTTTAATGGGTTGATTCCAGCCATCTAACTGTCCAAACATCCATCCATGGGTCCATCCAAATCCCAGATCTCCCTGGCCACCTACTCCCCACCTGTCGAGGGGGGGGCATCAAAGTGTTCCCAAGCCAGCTGACTGAGGTAATCTTTCCAGTGTTTCCAGGACCTGCTCTGTCCCTCTTCCCAGCAGAAAATATCCAAAACATCTCACCTAGGAGGTGCTCAGGAGGCGTCCTGCTTAGATGCACCAACCGTCTCAACTGGCTCCTTTCAATGTGGAGTATTAGTAATTCTACTCTGAGCCACTGTTATGAATGACTAAGTTCTTCACCCTGATGGAGGAAATTCATTTCTGCCAATTGTATCCACACCTCATTCTCTCAGTCATAACCCAGAGCTTGTGGCCATAGGCGAGGGTAGGAATCCAGATTGATATCTGCACCAATATATCTCCTATCACCAATATAGTAGACTATCGTGGCTCAAGAGTTGAGCGTTCGTCTTGTAATCGGAAGGTTGCCGGTTCGAGCCCTGGCTCCGACAGTCTCGGTCGTTGTGTCCTTGGGCAAGACACTTACCCTTTGCCTACTGGTGGTGGTCAGAGGGCCCGGTGGGCAGCCTCGCCTCTGTCAGTGCGCCCCAGGGCGGCTGTGGCTACACTGTAGCTTGCCATCACCAGTGTGTGAATGTGTGTGTGTGAATGGGTGGATGACTGCTTGTGTAAAGCGCTATAGAAATACAGACCATTTACCATTTTAGTGTATGGATGTAGGTTTCTGGGTCAGCATTTTGAAGTCTCAGTTTTAGTTTTTTGGCAATGTTGTTTTATTTGTTTATTTGCTTATTTTGAGCCAGAAGTAGCCATATCTTCGAGGTTATTGTCTGACTTTAGTTTGGCTTGCATCCATAAAATTTCCAGGTGAAGCACAGACACAGATATGGGCTAATTAAATTGAGTAAAATTAAAATAAACGGTTAGAATTTCATTGACCAAAAGTGGACTTGACTGTCTGTTAGTAGAATAAACATTTAGAAAGCTCCATTAAAAATGCTTTGAAAGGTTCCAACAGCTCAGACAGAGTGGAGAGGTCCAGCTCAGTGACTCCAGTTAAGGTGAAGACTAACGGGTAGCCATCTGCTCAATCACCATCAATTCCGATGAGTTATGAACAGAGACACTATCCAGAAAGACCAAAAAAAACATTTTTATACCAGAATCTAAATGTTTGTTAATGCTCTGAAATCAGGCATTTTAATGCAGAAGCCTATGAGCACATGTCTCTGTCTGCAAGAGACTCTCACCCAACAAGACCTAGAATTGGCTCTAGCCCCCCACAACCTTGGCTTGCTTAAATAGAAAGCAATGGCTGGATGAACAGAAATTAATAAATAATATTTTAAAGGGAACAAGCAGACAATATAGTAAAAAACACAAGGCAAAGAATTAGTACTAAACCTTTTTATAGATCTGTACATGACTGAAAAGAATAAAAACCCTCTGTTGTCCCATAGACTCTATGCCACAGAGACGAGCTATTCTAATCTCACCATATCCAGCCTTCGACAATCTCTGGAAAGTGGAAGACCCTTGAGTTTTCTTTAATTCAAGGATTTTATGATGGTTGAAAATACAAACTGGGCCTCCCAGCCTCTGGGAATAGCTCATCAAGGACTGTACTTTACTAAATACAAATTAGATTCAGCATTGCAGCAAGTATTTTAAAAATAAGTCTAATTATATTTGTTCAAAACAAAAGTCTACATTTTGCTTGAAAAGCTCACTGCGGTCCCAGTATGATGCATTATTAAAAAACAAAAGGTGGCGTTTATTACATTTGCGAGCATCTCTTTGATTTCAGATAAAAGCGAATCACTAATTTTACAGATATAGCTTGTGCACTGTATGTATATATTTGTCTTTCTTTCCCAAGGATATTCTGCAGCAGGATAATGGGCTGTGAGCCACCCCTCACCCCCACTCTTCCTGCTGTATTTGGATGCTGTGAAACACATCAGGAAACTTTAATGCTCCATATCCATGAATGAGCTGTAAATGAGTGATCAAATCTGAGCCGAACCTCCTCTAAAACATGTGCATCCAAACCTTTAATCTAATCATTTTGTTTTCTCACTTGTGTCCAGAATAGCAGCGTTTTAATGCCAAAGCAGAGCAGGGACATCACAAAAGGCAGATTAGAATGAAAGCAGACTCTGTCAACTTTGTCTTTATGATCATCTCTCTGCTTGACCCAGTGTCGTGACATGTTCATAACCTTATACAAACAGTCATAAATCGACTTAAAGTTAGTCTTTTAATCTGTTGTGTAAATAACCCAAAGCCCAGTCATAGAAAATGAACTATTTACATTTTTTGTCATAATTATCAAAAGCCATCTGAAGTCACTGAGAGCTAATGGTGATTTTATGCAACCCGGGCCTTTCTCAGTAGGGGGTCTGTGACTTTGATTGAGGACTTTATTAAAGAGATCATTTTGCATAATTGAGGGTATTCATAGAAGGTCAGTTTCATCAGAAGTCGAAGAGAAAATCCTTGGATGAAATTCTATGATCTAGACTAGTTCTGATTAGCTCGTCTGCTCTGCCCCTGGCGTCACCCCACGTCACCCTCAGCTTGCCTACGCCCAATCTCCCAACGTACCCTTACTCACCCGTAAAGTGAAGGTGTGAGAAGAGCTCCTCGCATCAACACACTTCAACGGCGCTTAATTACCTAAATCCACTAGTGTTTGATCTCAAACAGATTTCATGGCTGCCGGTTAATGTACCATTTTCCGCGATTCTCTCAGTGTTTCCAGTTGTTGGAGCAAAGCTGAGCTGGATGATGCCCTGTGTTTTTGCTAAGCTTGAGTGACGTTTGACAGGAGAGGATTATTTTGCACTGCTCAGTCCCCGCAGCCAGTTAAAGCCCCCTCGAAGGTCAATGATGGTTTCAACTGTCAAACATGTTTAAAGAGCTTGACGTATTTCTGCCTTCCAGTTCTGGCCACGTTGGCTTTTGACCTGGCCGACATCATTTGCATATGGCGCCATCAGGACATGTCCAGAGAAACCTTTATAGCCGTGTAATCGGGTACGAATCATCTCCCAAAACTGTGCTTTTAACCTTTAAACCGATCCAGGTGAAA